CGAGAGTGAACAAGAACCAGACCGGTATAAACCAAACTGATACATACGTTGGGCCGGTTCAAAATCAAACCCAATCAATTAACCAATAAGGGCAATTTCGACTTTTGGTATACAGCTTAGGTCTAGGGTTTTGACCAGCGACAGTTATCTATATGTAAGAGCAGCGTGAACCTTTTGTTATCGAACGTCTCTGTATCTTTCTCTTCGCCGTCTCTTACAATGATTGATCTTTAGGGTTTGTGTAGTTTAGATTGAGTAGGGTTTTATATATCTATATGGCTCGCAGGAGCCTCCCGGGCTAATCTGATTAGAGTACTTGAGGAACTAAGCCCCAAAGCTCCTGCTAGATTGTTTTGCCGTTTGTGTTGCAGGCTTGCCTTATTTATTAGGCTTTTCTGTGTCAAAAAAGCTGCTAAATTTATTCTCTTTCGTATTTGTTGATGGAATCGGCGAGTGTAGCTATGGTTTTTTTTTTGATTTGGCGATGATTAAAAACTTACCCGCGCTTCTGAGATTGTTAGATCAGTGAAGCATATTCGGTAAAACATGGTTGAATTTCTTAATATGAGCCAATTAATTCTTGTTTTCTTGAAAGTTTTGGTTTTTCTTTTTGGGCAGTGATGAGTAATCGTAACAGCTTGATACGCCAGTTCTGCTTCAGAGAATTCTTGATAGAAAAAGCTGTATTCATATCTGAGCCTATAATTCTTGATAGTGTTGAATCTTCTTACATGTTGAGTATTTTTTTTGGGAATGTCGATGAGGATATAATCCGATTGTACGAGGTGCAGTGGAGCCGAGACCCTGTTTACAGGGAGAACCCCTTGGCAGAAACTGCAATTTCTTTGATTTCTACGGATTTAACTGAGACATCATTTCATAGTTGTGTTGAGTTTAAACTATACACATGCACTTGTATCCTTGTGCTTGTAGTCTGAAAAAACTCAGATATTGTCTGTGTTCTCATCAGCTTGGTCTCTTTTTTTAACCATGAGACTAGAGTTAAACAAGATCACCACATTTTTGTCTCGGAAAAAATTAACCTCACTGTTTTTGTTGTGTTTGGTCTCAGCGTCTGAGTTCGAATTACCTGATTAAGGACCTTGGTGGAATGTAATTGGTATCTTAATTGGTATTAAGAATTTTGGTTTTGTGTTGGTCATTTTTAAAGATGTCCTCCTTTTGGATAAATAAAAGGATATGTTGCTATTGTACGAAATTAAGAACAACGAACTAGTATCTGTTACATTAATTTCTTTGTTGTGAAAATGCATCTTTTAATCCTTAAAAGAGCATCAATTTGTTTTTAATATTGAAACACATAACGTAACTCAAATCTCGCTATATAGTAGTAATCAATGAACTAGCTTTCTCAAGTGAGAAGTTTCGGATAATTAAGGAAATAGGCCATTTTTTGTAGATAAATTAAAGAAATACGCCAAATGTTTTTAAACTAAAAAAATACACCAAACATTAGATGAAATGTCCATTATGTCCCTTATTATAATTGACTAAAAATTGGGTTGCAATCATCGTTATCACCGCCGTCTCGCTGCAACCTTCAAGCTAAGAACACTGCTTCCTTCTTTCTCTACTCTCCACTCTCCTCGACCTAAAGGTCACCGTCGTCTCTAACCTTCGCACGGTCGCCCTCGAAGGTA